CTGCAGAAAAAATCTTAAATAGTATTTTTAACACCATCCACTGCATCATCATTTCCTGCATAAGAATTAATAGGTCCAATAAATTTTCTGCGTTCTCTTTCCTTCACCACATTATGGAAGAACCTAGTGTTGATGTCTCCCTCCTTGTTCCATTTACCCGAGCTTTCTGGATGATTAAGTTATCTTTAACTTGCAGATTATGCAATAGAGCTTTACAAGCTTCATATAGTCTCGCCATCAAACCTTCGACTTCTTCGACTGCAGCCTCAATCAAATCATTGTCCACCTTATTGATAATATCTACATCCTCCTTCACCTTCCAATCATACCACTCAAACACCTCTTTACTCGAAATTCTTAGATCTCCTCTAAGTATCTTGAATTTCTCTTTAATCACAAAATCACTTCTCCCAACAACTTCATAACTCCTCCATTTTTATTCAAATTTGATAAAATGAGAATGTTCTAACCAAGAATTGTTAGATTTAAACGGTTTAGGTCCCCAATTCCTCTCCCCGATCTTCATCCATATAGGACAGTGATCAAAAATATCTCGCTTCCAAATCGATTGCTCTATCATACCCCAGGTGTTAATGAACATCGAATCCACAAGAAATATGTTGATTCTACTCATAGCTTTACCATTACCACTATACCACGTGAAACGATTACTAAAAACCGGGGGATCAATTAGATCCAACCTATCCACAAATTCATAAAAGGATTTAATCTCCAAATTCCTACAATCACGAGACGTTCCCTTTCGTTCAGAGGCTACATATGTGGCATTGAAGTCTCCACCTAGAAACCAAAAAATATCATTCCATTTACTCTTGGAAACCTCCAGATCCTTCCACAACTTGTGTTTTGCACTAAGAGAACACTCAAAATAAATGTTGACTACATAGTAAATCTCTTCTTTCCATTTAGTTGAACTCCCAGATAACCATCCCCGGCCAAAATTAAATGAGAAGACACCAAACTATGGGTATTTGCTATGGTCAGATTAGTGGAAAAATCATGGTACTTGTTTGTTAATCTATCAATTAGATTTCTTTGATTTGATATTACAGATTTACCATAAAGAGATTTGGACACTATCTTTAATATAAATGATATTAAACTCAATTGAATAAAGAAGTAAATAGTTAAGGATATATTCAGAGCTATAGAGAAGGGTGTTGGCAAAAAACCACAAGTTCTAAGTGAAATGTCTAGTACAAGTGTAATTACACTTCTTTTATTTAAATAAATTCTAATTTAGTTAAAATTAGAGTTTGCTTAAATAAAGGAAGTATCGATTACACCAATATTATTAGTCAACCTAGGATTAAATTTTTAGTTAAAGTGTACTTCTCATAATAATGATTTGTAATTAATAAACAAATAATTAAAGTTAATTTTTTTAGTTAAAGCTTTAAACTTCAAATTTATTTTGTTGTTCTTATGCGCGCACAATTTATATATATATATATATATATATATATATATATATATATATATATATATATATATATATATATATATATATATATATATATATATATATATATATATATATATATATATATATATTTATAAAGGATTTTTTTTTGTTGTTTAATTTATCAATTGTATCTATAAAGGTTAATTTGGACAAATTTTGCCCAAAATTAAATGAGAAGACACCAAACTATGGGTATTTGCTATGGTCAGATTAGTGAAAATAACAAGGTACTTGTTTGTTAATCTATCAATTAGATTTCTTTGATTTCATATTACAGATTTACCATAAAGAGATTTTAGAGTCTATTGTTAATATGAATGATATTAAACTTAATTGTATAAAGAAGTAAATAGTTGAGGATATATAGAGAGCTATAGAGAAGGGTGTTTGCAAAAAATCACAAGTTCTATGTGAAATGTCTAGTACAAGTGTAATTGACACTTCTTTTATTTAAACAAATTCGAATTTAGTTAAAATTAGAGTTTGCTTAAATAAAGGAAAGGTCGATTACATCAATATTATTAGTCAACATAGGATTAAATTTTTGGTTAAAGTGTACTTCTCATAATAATGATTTGTAATTAATAAAACAATAATTAAAGTGAATTTTTTTAGTTAAAAGTTTAACCTTAAAATTGTTTTTTTTCTTATGCGCGCGCGAATTTTATATATATATATATATATATATATATATATATATATATATATATATATATATATATATATATATATATATATATATATATATATATATATATATATATATATATATATATATATATATATATATATATATATATATATATATATATATATATATATATATATATATATATATATATATATATATATATATATATATATATATATATATATATATATATATATATATATATATATATATATATATATATATATATATATATATATATATATATATATATATATATATATATATATATATATATATATATATATATATATATATATATATATATATTTAAAGTATTTTCTTTGTTGTTTAATTTATCAATTGTATCTATAAAGGCTAATTTGGACAAATTTTGGCCAAAATTAAATGAGAAGACACAAAACTATTGGTATTTGCTATGGTCAGATTAGTGGAAAAATCATGATACTTGTTTGTTAATCTACCAATTCGATTACTTTGATTTGATATTACAGACTTACCATAAAGAGATTTGGAGATTATCTTTAATATACATGATATTAAACTCAATTGTATAAAGAAGTAAATAGTTAAGGATATATTCAGGGCTATAGACACTACAAGAAAATGTTGTATTTCCCTAGTGAATTAGTGATGTGGTAAACACGTGGGTAAAAAATTGTGTTGCCAAGTGATAACCACGTCATTAACATTTTTTATTAATAAACTTTAGTATGCCAAACTCTGGAACGAAAATTTGGAATTTTAATGGAGAGAGAAATTTGAATTTTCCACAAATTCTGTTGTGGCGTGTTAACCACGTGGGAAGTTAAAATTCAAAAAGGTCACAAAATACCCACGTGAATTTCACTTCGCAACCCACGTACATCAAAAAATATTTTCCCGTTGGGTTGGCATTTAGTGGACCAACGGTAATAATTTAATATTGGGGACATTTTCCGTCTTTAAATTCACGTCGCAAATTTCTGATGTGAATGCCACATCGCAAGCTTTATCAGATAACCTGGCAATTAGTGAAAATGTAGTTGCGACCTTCATTTCACGTCGCTAATTTCTGAAGCGTTTGCCACGTCGCAACTTTCTGATGTTAAAGCCACGTCGCAACCTCCCTTATATAAACCAAATCTCAGAATTTCTTCAAGTCCTCGTCTCTTGCAAACCTCCCTCATCTCCTTCTTCTTCCCCCTTTCTTTCCCCTTTGTTCTTCAGCTGCTGTGTTGGTGTTGTTTCATTTGCCAAAAATTTAAGGTGATATATTAGTTGATTTTTTAATTGTTTCATGTTATAGTTTATTTTATATTTTTTTATTATTAACTGTTAATTTTTTTTCTTCAGATCTAACAATTTTATAGGAAGTCCTCTATATTAGAAGCTTAATTATAGGTATTTATGAATTTTAATTTGTTTATATGTATTATGTATTGTATTGTTGTTGAAAACTTTGATAGTTAGGTTAAAAAATTTTAGATTTAGAAATATTGTGATATAATGAATTGTATATTGGGTTTGTTGTTGTTTTAAATTTTAGAAAGCAAAAATAAAAATAATATGTTATGTGATTTTTAATTAAAAAAATAGATTATTCATTTGAAACAAATTAAAAAAAAAGATTTAGATTTATATTATGTTGTGTGATTTTTAAACAGATTTTTAATTAAATAATATGTTGTGTGATTTTTAGTAAATCAATTATACCTATTATATAGAATAATATATATTATTAAATAGTTATTATAATTTAGTAAACATAATATATATTATTTTAATAAAACAGTTTTTTAAATGTGTAGTGAATATATATTATGAATATAAAAAAACAGTTTAAAATATATAATGAATGTATAATGAATATAATAAAACAGTTTTTTAAATATATAATGAATATAATAAAACAGTTTTTTAAATAATAAAATAGTTTTTTAATATATATTATTTTAGTAAACATAATATATTATTAAATTAATGAATATAATAAAACAGTTTTTTAAATAATAAAACAGTTTTTTAATATATATTATTTTAGTAAACATAATATATTATTAAATTATAATATATATACAAAACTGTTTTTTAAATAATAAAACAGTTTTTTAATATATATTATTTTAGTAAACATAATATATTATTAAATTAATGAATATAATAAAACAGTTTTTTAAATAATAAAACAATTTTTTAATATATATAAGAAACAAAAATAATATATTAGAAACAAATTAAATATGTTATGTATTTTTAATTTTTAAAAACAGAATATTTATTCTGTTAGAAAAAATAGAATTTTAAAAAATATTTTTAGTAAACAATATTGTAAATAGAAAAATTAATATATATTTTTTAAAAATATAAAGAATATGTATTATATTTAAAAAGTGTTATTTTTAAATGTATTACATTATTTTTACACATTCAATTATTAAAAACAGATTTTTAAAAATAATGAATATATATTATACTTTAAATATGTTATTATTAGTATAATATATTATTTGAGTGAATTTATATTATACTTTAAAAATAATGAATATATATTATATTTTATAAAATTATAGTGAATATATATTATACTTTAATGAATATATTATAATTTAAAAATAATGAATATATATTATACATTAAAAATAATGAATATATATTATACTTTAAAAATAATAAATTTATATTATTTTAGTGAACATATTTTATTAAGTTGGTGTCGAAATAGAAAAAAAAAAGATTTAAATTACATATTTTATTAAGTTGGTTTCGAAATAGAAAAATAATATATATAAATTTATATTATATACACCGTTGTTTGAGGGGTCGGCAGATTCAAAATTATCAATGTGTGTGAGATTATTGGCCGCAAAGTCAAATTGGAATGTTCCTGATCAGTGTTTGGAATACTTTGCAAAAATGATGTTGGATGCGACTCCTACGAAAGACAACTTGCCTACAAGTTATTATGATGCAAAGAGGTTGGTGTCGAAGTTGGGTTTAGAAGTGCGAAAGATTGATTGTTGCATAAATAGATGTATGTTGTTTTATGATAATGAGTTTGGTATTAATGATGAGGCGCTGGAGGAATGTAAGTTCTGTAAGAGTCCGAGATATCAAGTTCGTAGTAAAGCCATTAACCGTAAACAAAAACGTGTAGCAGTGAAGTCCATGTTTTATTTGCCGATAATACCAAGGTTAAAAAGATTGTTTGCTTCAATGCATAGTGCAAGTCAAATGACATGGCATCATACAAACAAAACATCTTCAGGCATTATGCGGCATCCATCTGACGGTGAGGCATGGAAACATTTTGATAGGGTACATTCTGATTTTGCTGCAGAACCTAGAAATGTCAGGCTCGGACTATGCTCTGATGGTTTCACTCCATACGTCCAAGCATCTGCAATTGCATATTCCTGTTGGCCAGTTATCGTAACCCCTTATCGTAACCCCTTACAACCCCCCTTGCAATTGCATATTCCTGTTGGCCAGTTATTCTCCCGAAGATGATCAACAAAGCGAAGATGAATTATTTAGTGGCGAAGAATAATTTTTTTTATTAATATTTTTATTTGTGACGTGAATATTACGTCACAACTTTTATTATTATTATTTGTATTTGTGACGTGAATTTCATGTGACTAAATATTTATATATTTTTAATGTATATTATTTTAATTAAAAATTATTTTAATTTTAAATTTATATTTAATATTTAATATTTCTTTTAATTTTAACGTTGTTTTCATGTTAATATTATTTATTTCTATTTATAATTAATTTAACAGTGAAGTGGATCCCATGTCACTAATTAGTGACGTGGGAAAAAGATGGGAAAAGTATTAATTCTGTGAGGTTTCCCACGTGATAACAAGGTCACAACTTTGTGACGTGGGAATCACATGGGTACTAAATTTACTTTGGGTCAGGTAAGCATGCACAGCATTTTGGTAAAGGTAAGTTCCCACATGACTTTCACGTCACTAATTAGTGACGTGGTTTTCACGTGGGAAGTTTTCTTCTTTATTTTGTGATTTGCGACGTGATAATCCTGTCACAACTTTGTGACGTGTTTTCCACGTGGGAAAAAGTTCCCACCATTACATTTCCGGCGTGTTTTACCCACGTCGCAACCATTGGCTAGTGAAGTGATTTTTACATTAATGACGTGTATATCACTTGGGAAAAGGCAATATTTCTTGTAGTGAGAGAAGGGTGTTGGGAAAAAACCACGAGTGCTACGTGAAATATCTAGTAGAAGTGTAATTGCCACTTCTTTAATTTAAACAAATTCTAATTTAATTAAAATTAGAGTTTGCTTAAATAAAGGAAGTGTCGATTAGACCGATATTATTAGTCAACTTAGGATTGAACTTTTGGTTAAAGATTACTTCTCATAATAATGATTAGTAATTAATAAACAAATAATTAAAGTTAATTTTTTTAGTTAAAAGTTTAACCTTCAAATTTATTTTGTTATTCTTATGTGCGCACAAATTATATATATATATATATATATATATATATATATATATATATATATATATATATATATATATATATATATATATATATATATATATATATATATATATATATATATATATATATATATATATATATATATATATATATATATATATATATATATATATATATATATATATATATATATATAAAGGATTTTTTTTGTCGTTTAATTTATCAATTGTATCTATAAAGGCAAATTTGGACCAATTTCGGCCAAAATTAAATGAGAAGACACCAAACTTTGGTTATTTGCTTTGGTCAGATTAGTGGAAATATCATGGTACTTATTTTTTAATATATCAATTAGATTTCTTTGATTTGTTATTACAGATTTACTATAAAGAGATTTGAAGACTATCTTTAATATAAATGATATTAAAGTCAAATGTATAAAGAAGTAAATAGTTGAGGATATATTCATAACTATAGAGAGCTATAGAGAAGGGTGTTTGCAAAAAACCACAAGTTCTATGTGAAATGTCTAGTACAAGTGTAATTGACACTTCTTTTATTTAAACAAATTATAATTTAGTTAAAATTAGTGTTTGCTTAAATAAAAGATTACACCAATATTATTAGTCAACTTAGGATTAAATTTTTGTTAAAGTGTACTTCTCATAATAATGATTTTTAATTATTAAACAAATAATTAAAGTTAATATTCTTATTTAAAATTTTAACCTTAAAATATATTTTGTTTTTCTTATGCGCGCACAAATTATATATATATATATATATATATATATATATATATATATATATATATATATATATATATATATATATATATATATATATATATATATATATATATATATATATATATATATATATATATATATATATATATATATATATATATATATATATATATATATATATATATATATATATATATATATATATATATATATATATATATATATATATATATATATATATATATATATATATATATATATATATATATATATATATATATATATATATATTTAAAGGATTTTTTTGTCGTTTAATTTATCAATTGTATCTATAAAGGCTAATTTGGACAAATTTTGGCGAAAATTAAATGAGAAGACTCCAAACTATGAGTATTTGCTTTGGTTAGATTAGTGTAAATATCATGGTACTTGTTTGTTAATCTATCAATTAGATTTCTTTGATTTGATATTTCAGATTTACCATAAAGAGATTTGAAGACTATCTTTAATATAAATGATATTAATCTCAATTTGATATTAAACTCAATTGTATAAAGAAGTAAATAGTTGAGGATATATTCAGAGCTATAGAGAAGGGTGTTTGCAAAAAACCACAAATTCCATGTGAAATGTCTAGTACAAGGGTAATTGACACTTCTTTTATTTAAACAAATTCTAATTTAGTTAAAATTAAAGTTTGCTTAAATAAAGGAAGTGTCGATTACACCAATATTATTAGTCAACTTAGGATTAAATTTTTGGTTAATGTGTACTTCTCATAATAATGATTTGTAAATAATAAACAAATAATTAAAGTTAATTTTCTTATTTAAAAGTTTAACCTTAAAATTTAATTTTGTTTTTCTTATGCGTGCACGATTTATATATATATATATATATATATATATATATATATATATATATATATATATATATATATATATATATATATATATATATATATATATATATATATATATATATATATATATATATATATATATATATATATATATATAAAGGATTTTTTTGGGTGTTTAATTTATCAGTTGTATCTATAAAGGCTAATTTTGACAAATTTTGGCCAAAATTAAATGAGAGGACACCAAACCATAGGTATTTGCTTTGGTCAGATTAGTGGAAAAATCATGGTACTTCTTTGTTAATCTATCAATTAGATTTCTTTGATTTGTTATTACAAATTTAGCATAAAGAGATTTGAAGACTATCTATAATATAAATGATATTAAACTCAATTGTATAAAGAAGTAAATAGTTGAGGATATATTCAGAGCATTAGAGAGCTATAGAGAAGGGTGTTTGCAAAAAAAAAACGACAAGTTCTATGTGAAATGTCTAGTACAAGTGGAATTGACACTTCTTGTATTTAAACAAATTTTAATTTAGTTAAAATTAGAGTTTGCTTAAATAAAGAAGTGTCGATTACACCAATATTATTAGTCAACTTAGAATTAAATTTTTGGTTAAAGTGTACTTCTCATAATAATGATTTTTAATTAATAAACAAATAATTAAAATTAATTTTCTTATTTAAAAGTTTAACCTTAAAATTTATTTTGTTTTTCTTATGCGCGCACGAATTTTATATATATAAATATATATAAAGGATTTTTCTTAATCGGTTAATTTATCAGTTGTATCTATAAAGGCTAATTCTGACAGTTTTGGCCAAAATTAAATGAGAGGACACCAAACTATGGGTATTTGCTTTAGTCAGATTACTGGAAAAATCATGGTACTTGTTTGTTAATCTATCAATTAGATTTCTTTGATTTGTTATTATAGATTTAACATAAAGAGAGTTGAAGACTATCTTTAATATAAATGATATTAAACTCAATTGTATATAGAAGTAAATAGTTGAGGATATATTCAGAGCTATAGAGAGCTATAGAGAAGGGTGTTTGCAAAAAACCATAAGTTCTATAGAAATGTCTAGTACAAGTGTAATTGACACTTCTTTTATTTAAACAAATTCTAATTTAGTTAAAATTAGAGTTTGCTTAAATATAGGAAGTTTCCATTACACCAATATTATTAGTCAACATAGGATTAAATTTTTGGTTAAAGTGTACTTCTCATAATAAAGATTTGTAATTAATAAACAAATAATTAAAGTTAATTTTTTTAGTTAAAAGTTTAACCTTCAAATTTAATTATTTCTTTCTTATGCGTGCGAATTTTTTTTATATATATATATATATATATATATATATATATATATATATATATATATATATATATATATATATATATATATATATATATATATATATATATATATATATATATTTGTATCTATAAAGGCTAACTTGGACAAATTTTGGCCAAAATTAAATGAGAAGTCACCAAACTATGGGTATTTGCTTTGGTCAAATTAGTGGAAAAATCATGGTACTTGTTTGTTAATCTATCAATTAAATTTCTTTGATTTGTTATTACAGATTTACCATAAAGAGATTTGAAGACTATCTTTAATATAAATGATATTAAACTCAATTGAATAAAGAAGTAAATAGTTTAGGATATATTCGGAGCTATAGAGAGCTATAAAAAAGGGTTTTGGCAAAAAAACCACAAGTTCTATGTGAAATGTGTAGTACAAGTGTAATTGACACCTATTTTATTTAAACAAATCCTAATTTAGTTATAATTAGAGTTTGCTTAAATAAAAGAAGTGTCTATTAGACCAATATTATTAGTCAACTTAGGATTAAATTTTTGGTTAAAGTGTACTTCTCATAATAATATTTGTAATTAATAAACAAATAGTTAGAGTTAATTTTTTTAGTTAAAAGTTTAACCTTAAAATTTATTTATTTTTTTCTTATGCGCGCGCGAATTATATATATATATATATATATATATATATATATATATATATATATATATATATATATATATATATATATATATATATATATATATATATATATATATATATATATATATATATATATATATATATATATATATATATATATATATATATATATAAAGGATTTTTTTTTGTCATTTAATTTATCAATTGTATCCATAAAGGCTAATTTGGACAAATTTTGGCCAAAATTAAATGAGAAGTCACCAAACTATGGGTATTTGCTTTGGTCAGATTAGTGGAAAAATCATGGTACTTGTTTGTTAATCTATCAATTAAATTTCTTTGATTTGTTATTACAGATTTACCATAAAGAGACTTGAAGACTATCTTTAATATAAATGATATTAAACTCAATTGAATAAAGAAGTAAATAGTTT